GCACGCACCTACGCGTATTTTGCAAGACGAAGCCAACACTGTGAAACGCACTAGCAACCAGACACCACGCCAAGGTGTCGAGCATGTACTGCTTCTCGAGGACGTAGTCGCCCTTGGACCAGTAGAGCATCGCGAGCAGAAAGAGCAAGTGAATGTACAGCCCTGGCGCTGGTGGACTCTTTTGGAACCTGTCCCAGATCGGAAGCCAGAGCGCCTCAGCCGCTGCGTAGTCGCCAAGGAAGCGGTACGTCAAACCGAGGTTGAATGATGCAGCATCAGTGGGCCGTAATTACGATCCTGCACATGTATCTTCAAACAGCGCCTTGGCTTCGACGGTTTGGCTCCGCCTGAAGCCGATCAAAGCTGCGCATCCAAGCACTTGCGGAACCAATCTATTGCTTGGTCATAGCCGAAGAGCTGATGGCTGGCTATACCGAAGAGGATCGACATGGTCGCTACGGTCGACATGTGAGCAGCTCCGAGGTCTGTCAGCGCCGTTTCTCCAAACAGAGAGCACGGGCCTCGACTAAGTACTTGGCTGCCACAAGAGAGCGGGCGAACGTGTTGCGAACATGACACAAGGTCAAGGGATCGAGGCCGTCCATGGCCGAATGGCCGAGAGGTCGTAGAAGACTGTGCGCCACTTGTTGCTGAGGGCATATTTCCGGGATACAATCGTCGTTTCGTGAAGTTCACGAATCGATTTGCAAGTCTGTCAAAGCATTTCAAAATTTACGCTTATGGAATATAGTTGTGGAGGTCCCAGCTCCGCGTCATGTACGATGGCCCGTACAAGTGCGTCAAGTATGCGTCGACGTTGGCCGGGCAGCGGGCGCGGACCGACTCGAAATTGCAGGGCACGAGGGGGTAGATCCAATCTCGCGGTACGACAAAGTGCTTGGGCCGGCCCTCGCAGGCCACGCACTCGTGCCAGCAGCCCGACGCCTCGGGACCGAGCAGCGCTGTTCCATTCTCGTTGATGGACGGCAAGAAGACAAAGATGTCGAGGTAGAGACCCGACGTCTTGTCAATGAACCGACCGGGCAGCGCAGCGTCGCGCGTCTTGGTGGGATACAAAGTGCTGTTGACGATCTCGAGCTTGTAGCGCTCGGGCAAGGCCAGTGGCGTCGTGCCAAGCGTCGCAAACGCCTCGACGCCCATGCCCACGTCGAGGTCCATGTCGTTGGGGTTGAGTGTGCCCGTACGGATTGCGCCGAGGAGCGTCCCGCTGTCGAGCCAGTACTCGATGCCATGCGCCGTCAGCGACGTCGTCAAGGTCTGCGCCAATCCGCGCAGCATGCCATCGATCTCGGACTGGTCGAAACATTCGTTAGGCCCTCGATACCTAACTTCGCGGTGGCTATCGCGGATCAGGACGCACAACTTGGTCGTCCAAATGGCATGGACGCAGGCGACCGCAATCGTGACGAGGACGAGGCTGACGACGCACAGTACAATCTTCTCGCAGAGCGTCGCCTCGACGTCGAGCGGGTGCACCTGCGGCTTGGAGCGCGCATAGCCGTCGACGATGTCGAGCAGCGCCGCGTCCTCACGCACAGCGTCAACGTCAGCGTCGTCCAGGTCGTCGTCGCTGCGCCGTGTTCGCTGAATCATGCTGCCGGCTTGCTATTGTGTCGACCAATGGCCTTGCAGGAATATGAGAATACTGAAAACAAGTCAATTCATCGTGCAGGGGTCGAGCTGCCACGTCACAGATCATAAAGAGGTTAAATGGGTAAAATAGCAAAATGGGCCTTTGTTGCAGCTCTTCGTTGCCGATCCTGACGGGGACCATGGGATACCAGTAACGAGCCTTGCGTCTCGTGAGCCCAACGAGCTAGATGGACTCCAGTACACTGTACCCACCAGTGTACTGCTGTAGTGTACCTATAGGTTTGTAGTTGTCCGAGATCGATCGTCCGCCGGTTTATCAGCTGCGAGTCGGGCTCGCATCCACTTTGAGTCAAGTGACGTCCGCGATGTCCACAAGTCGACGATTGCGACCATGTCGATCCTCGGCATGTCCAGCTTCAGTCTCTTCGACTATTACCAAGCAATGCACTGGTTCCGCAAGTGCTTGGACGCGCAGCTCTCGCTGCTCGGAATGGACCACCCGAGCACGGTGTACACGCGCGACTATCTCGCCTTGATCTGTTTCTACCGCGGCCAGCTCGTCGAGGTCCGAGTGCTCTACGAAGCGATCACCTCGGTACGGTAGCGCATTTATGGTCCCTTTCACAGCACGACCATCACTGCGTTGATCAACCTCGGCTCCGTGCACCGTTGTCGTGGCGACTACACGGCAGCGGACGCTCTCTGGCGTCTGCTCTGCGCCCGCGACATCGAGCTACATCACCTTGATGTCCCTTCTCGCCAAGCTCTACTGGTCCAGAGGCGACTACGACGATGGCTAGCGCTACCTAGAGATGTCTCTGGCGTGGCGTCTTGCAAACTTGCCACCCGGCGACGCCGGCGCGAGCGTAGGTGCGTCGGCGCTGTTCCGGTTTTTCTTCTCGCCGCGCTTTTTGGGGCGCAACCCCGCACGTGTGGCGGGGTGTGGGCCGGTGTTGTCGTTTTTTTCGCCGAGCGCGCTCTCGAGGGGGGTGTGTGTCGAGGCGACCTGTTTTGTGTGTGGCGCGCGGCTGTACGGGGTTTGTTTTTCGTGTTCTCGTTGTGCCGCCTTTTTGTCTCTTTTTTTTGCGCCCTGTGTCTGTCTCGGGGCGTGTCCGAGGTTTTGTGCGCCCGCGCCCTGTGGCTTTTCGTGTTCTGTGTGCTCGCGTGGGTGTCTTTTCTCGCGCGCGCTGGTCGCCAGTGCGACGGATCAAGCGACAGCGACCTTGTGGCGCGACTACCAGACGTACTGCACTGCCAACAAGGTTCCGGTCGACGAGCAAGCGGCCTTTGCCAGCTACGAGCCGATCGCAACGCGCACCTGGCACCCGAAGCTCTACCTCAGTGTCTAAATCAATAATGTCATCGTTAAAACGTACTAAACAGTGTTTGTACTAGTAAGTATGTAGCAAGTCTTGACCTCGAAGTACTATATGTACGTACGGTTGTACTACGAGTAGTAGCGAAGAAGCTATTGTCCACCAGAGCCCATCGCAAGGGCAACTTGGCGATAAAAGTGGGTGAAGATAGACAACGTATACCCAAAGAGGCGATTTATGACTTTTAACACCCAACGGTTCCATTCCGCAATTTTTAAACGAGCGCATGTACCGCCAAGTGCCGCCGCCTGCGGTCCAGGCGTTCCCACACGACGTCCATGGCGAGATGGCGCGGGTAGACGACGCCCACCATGTTCCTCTCCGTCATCATGGGTCTGCGCTAGATGCGGGAGGCCATCGCACGCCTTACGCAGGAGAAGGGCCAGGCCGAGGAGATGGTCGGGCTTCTCAACATTAAGCTCGACGCGTACAACGAAGAGCTCTTTGACGCCAAGTCGAACGTTGCAGTGATCGAAGCCGAAGCCAACTACCGCTGCCAGCAGAACGAGCTCGCGACGTCGCAGAAGGTCGCTAGCCTCACGTCCCAGGTCGCGTTCCTGCGCGAGCAGATTGCGACCTCGGAGCGCGCCCACACGCGTCTTCGCAAGGAGCTCGAGAGCGTACGCTTAGCGCTTCTTCTTACGACCCTCATGCACTCGCGTAGGCCCAGACGTCGATGCTCGTCGAGCAAAAGCGACTAACGGCCGAGAAGAAGCTCCTCGAGACCAAAAAGCGCCAGCTCCACGAGATGAGCAGCTCCCAAGCCGTTCCCTTGTCCCAGGTCGCCTCCCAGCGACCGTTCTACCCGTCGCAGCAGCTGCGAACACCGCCGCCTCGGCCGCAGTCGCCGGTGGTCGCGCCTCGGTCCTCGGCCACGATTGCGGTCCAGACCGAGGCCATTACTACCACGAGTCTCAGCCACGAGAATGCGGAGCTCGTCCACAACCTGCTTCAAGGCGCCGCGCTCTTGACGCTGCTCAACCATGTCTCGTCGTCGGGCCTCGAGGGGCCCGAGGCAGAGACGCTCACGCACCACGACGCACCCCGGGACTCGGAGTTTAGCCAGCTTATGCAGCCATTCTCCCAGTGGTTTCCGCCGCCACCGTCGCCGACCGTCGTCAAGCTGGCGCCGCTTGCGCTCGCCCAGCAGCTCTACACGACGCTGTCCCAGCTTCTGGCGGGCAAAAGCACGAGCGTCCACTTGATTCCGCTCCTAACCGACTACTTGCTGGCGGATATCGTAAGTTGCCATAGTCGTCACATTATTGTCATCATGGCTAGGAACACTCGGTGCTCACAAGCGCACTGCAGGTCCTCTTTGGCCTCCTGCACGCCAGCACGCGCGTTCGGGAAGCGCTACGCGACCCGCCATTATCATCCTCGACCCAAGGGATCGCTCGCATTCTGCTGCGTGGCAAACCGCTGGCACCGTCAACGCCCGAGACATTTCCTACCACCTTGGACATGTCGGTGGTCCGGGCCAAGTGCATGCATGCACTCACGCGTGTTCTGAAGCACCATGTGCATCAACCTGCCGTGCTGGCTCATGGTCTTGGTGCGTCTTCGTCTCGCATGCGAGAGGGTAATCGCGGTGCTTGTGTAGCGGTTGTATCACTTTGGATTCGCATTTCGCGGCAAGGTGCGGAGAGCTTGTTGCCGGTTTTGCAGGACATTGTCGGGAGTCCGAAATCAACGAGCCACGTCCAAGTCCGCGCGCTGAGTCTCCTCATGCAGCTGCTCCAGACGGAAAGTCTCTTTCAGATCTGGCGCCGCCAGAAGCAATGGCTGCCACTGCTGTTGCTCAAGAGCCCGGTCAAGCTCAGTGCGCTGCATGTGACTGTGCAGCTGGCCCTCCTGCAGTTTGTCGACTTTGTCATGATGACGTACGGGCTCCCGGGCGCAACGTGCATACTCAGCCACCAGCCCGACGAAGCATCGATCGTCCAGCCCATCATTCGGCTCATGGAGACGGCCATTACCCACATACAAGGTACGCGTAGAGTCGCATTACAAAAGATACCAAGTGACCGTAGACGACCACGATGATGCAGCGATGCAGTTGCAGCTGCTGCGCGCCGGCTTCCAGCTCATTAGCGCCTTGGAGCAGTACGTGGAGCTCAAGAGCCAAGTGCGGGAGCCCAAGCAGCAAGCCGCGCTCTTCAACATTCTGCACTACGTCCAGCGCGAGCTGCCGCGGGATGCGGTGACCGCCATGGCGCTCATCAGCGTGCTGCAAGCCCCAACGCCTGTCACCTCGTAGCTCGTTAACGTTGACGTGGACTAAAAATATAGTCTTTTATCTATCCTATGACAATATTCCCCATGCTCTTGATGGCATTGTGTCGTGTACGCGGGTGTCGTTCTTGTGGACCTTGGGTGGTAGGGCTGGGGTTCTATGGCGACGCGCCTTTTTGAAAAAATGTGTTTCGTCCCTAGGAACTACGACGAGTGTAGCAAACCTATGTACGCATATTCGTCTGATGTACATAATGTCATTGTCGTCGCTGCCCGTTGCGCGCAAAAGTCGTTTATATAAACCTGAAAGCGGGACGGACCTCGCTGTCAGCTATGAAATACACAGTACGGTATCAGTTACGTAGGAAACTCGAGCCGGATGCGCATCGCCCAGCTCCTGGCGCTGGCCATCGCCGCTTGCACGAGCCGCGCCGAGGACGACGTCTGCAGCCTCATTCCGGCCAAGTCGCTCGCCTTCTGCTCCATGGTACGCGCCCCTTCATGCAAATGCAGCTGCCATGCATCGCATTCCAGGTCGACTACGTGGCCGTCACGAGCGCCGACGACCCAACGGGCGCCGCCGCCGACGCCGACGCAGCCACCTACTACGCCAGCGTCGAAAAGGTTTGTGCTGCAAGCATGCGTTGGCGCGTACGATCGGACGGTAGATCCTCGACCGCTTTGGCTGCAGCACCAAGTACAGCCTGTACAACTGCGAGGACTGCCGGGATGCATACAAGTACTGGGTCTGCGCCGTGCAGTTTCAGCGTTGCGGCGGCAGTGCCCGGACGGCGACAGCCATTTGCCCGAGCGTCGCCGACGGCTGCGACCCCTTCCGCACGCGGGTAGGAGCGTCTCGCCAACCAAGCACGAGCCTTTACGCGGGTAGACCTGCCTCTCCATCTGCGAAGATGTGATCCGCAAGTGCCCGTATGTGCTCAACTTTGCCTGCCCGGCCGAGGACACGGCGTACTTTTCGTCCGACTTGACCAACTGCAATCGATTGGTACATGTTCTATAGTACATGATCATTTATTGTCGTCTCTCGTAGGACCGGACGGTCAACCCCGACAACCCGGCGCTCGGTTGGCCCGGCACGTTCGCCTCGAGCTAGGACTTAGCACGACACACATATGACTGCTTAAATAAGGGTAGCGCACTAGCACCCACAAACGCGAACGTTGGCGGTGATCGCCATGCACTCTTGATAGAGCACGAAGAGGACGTGCAAACTCTGCTTGAGCTGGCCCGGGTAGACGGGAATGTCGAGGAGCCCGCAGATGACGCGGACCCGGTCTTCGAGCGACAAAGTATGCAGCTCGAGAGTTGAAAAGCCCGTCAAGAACGGCTCAATTTCTGGTGGCCAGAGCTCGAGAAGGGTGTCGAGCGATGGCATCGGCTTGGTGTACACGACGTGCGGGGGCGGCTGCGACGCGTGCACGACCGCGACGCTCGCCATCCATGCGGAAATGCGCGATGGCGCCAAGTGGGCCTCTTCGATCACATGTACTGGCAACTCGATCGCGCGGCGGGAGTCGCCCAAGGCTGTTTTGGCGTCGGCTTGCAGCAGCAGCTGGAGCTCTATACAGATGTCACGGACGCTGTCCGACCGCAATGACATAGATACCAGCAGGGCTGGACTGCGCCGCACTCGGCTCGGCGAGGAGATGCACACCAAGCTCGACCGGTGGCGGGTCGAGAACGAGTACGTCCGGTCGAAGCAGACTGGTCGTGTCAAAGGGAAACCCAATGCTCGGCAAATACGGTGGCACAAATGGTTCGAGGTACAGAGGCAAGTCGACCATCTCTGGCCGGAAGACGTCGACCAGCTACGTGGACCAAGCATCTCCAAGACGGTGCTATGTACGGTAGGGGTACCTCGAGTAAAGTCTGAATCTCCGGTGGCAACGCGAGCTCGTCGTCATTGTCGTTGTCATGGAGCGTCCGTTCGTCGAGGTCTTGCGCTGCATCGGTCGCATCCTCCTTTGCCATTTCGTCGTAGAATGCCCGCGCCATCTCTTTGGACGGGCTTTCGATCTTGGGCAGCGGCGCGTCAAGAACCGTCCGACGCGGTGAGCTCGCGTCCTTCCCCACAGATGACGGCGGTTCGTCATCGTGGGGCGTCACCAAGGACAAAACTGTGTCCTTTGAACGCACGGTGGTCGCTTTTCGCTGTCGCTCTTGACTGCGCAGCGTTGAGCGTGCCTTGGTGCTGGCCTTGTCGTGCTCGTACTCGTCTTCTTCGTCTTCCGACGACGACGCGTCATCGTCCGTGTGGTTGACGACAAAGATATCGGGCCCTCGCCGCTCATTGGAGAGATACGACGGCGCGTGGACCTATCAGAGATGTGAAGCACATGCGAGGCAGCGCTGGCTGTCCTATTAACCGGTTTCATGGGACTGCCCGGGATCTCGGGCGGCTCGTCGTTGTCCGAGTCGTCGCCGTCGTGCGCCTGCCGCCGGCCATCGCCGGTACTCGCTGGCTGGCTAAAGTTGTGGGACAGCAGTGGGCGGCGGCCGACAAGTGCGTCGTCGTCGTCATCATCGCTGTCGTGCACTGTAGCAACACAGAGATCCATGGATCGATGCCTAGCATGGGCGACCGGGACGTACACGCGCGCTTGGTCGGTGACGCCAGCGTGTCGACGCTAGCAGGCGCCGTCAAGAAAGCTGCGCCCAAACGACGCCACGTACCTCGCTTCAAGGTCGTCGTCGTCGGGCAGCTCGTACATCTCGTCCATGCTCTACGCGCCATGGCTTGTGGCTGCTTACGCCATCGCGCGTACCTGGTCGTCCAGCTCCGTCTTGTCCATCTACGCACGCAAGTCACATGAGCGGCATGGAGCCGCGCATCGGGCCGACCTCGTCCATCGTGCGAGCGCGGCCGTCGCCGTCGGATAAAAAACGCGTTATCCGTACAAGATCGCGACGGTTCGACCAAGTGCAATCTTGGCTCACACGGTGTGCACCGAGGGAATGCCCCGAGGACCGTCCGTCGACGCACTAGTGTATATATCGTCTTGTTTATACTAATGTACAGATTGTACACGTAGCGAATGACATACCCGACGCTCCGCAATGCTGCTGTGCGAAAATCAGACTCGATCCACTGGCCACGGGGATCGTGCCAAACAGTGTATTTTAGACATTACACTGTCTTGAGCGCTGCGACCTCGCACCCTTTTGGCTTCATGGACGCGCCGCCATCGTTGCTGGGATGCACCCATTAGGATTATAAACAAGTAGAGGCTAGAATCTACGAGCAGTGAGTAGAGAGGGTCGCTGCAACGCAGCTCTGATGCACATGCAGAGGGAGCTGCCGAATTTGAGCAGCCGGTGGTTGGCCCCAAATTCTGTTCTCATTCTCAGCTTTGGACTGGAGCGGTGTAACGTGGTGGCTGCAACGCCGCGCTCGTCGTTCGCACTGGTCGAAGCACGCAGGAACAAGACGGCTTCGTTACTAGTACGAGATACGTCCATTGCACGAGCTATGGCTTCGAATCGTTCGCTGTCAACCTCCCACTCCTTCACATCAGGTAGCGTATTGATGCACCTACTAGACACATACTAGTGTACTCATATTACTAGTAGATGCAAGGAGATCCAACCTTCCTCGTCGTTGATTGCACGCGCAGTGTCGGCTCGAGCGTTCACCGAGACGGGTTGCTCACAGCCGTTGATGAAGCCACGCGGTGCTGGCCGGTCGCAAATAGCAGGTAATTCTTTCATTGTACGCCAAGCCGACTGAAACCGAAGGAGGGTGACTATCATTGACTGCAAACTCCATATTTATGCTGCATTGTAGATTGCTTGTAAGGAGTCTCTCTTTCATGTCGGTGCATAAAAACACACATGGCCATACAACGGCCTTGATATTTAAATACAAATATAATATGCGACACGCGACCAATCAGCTGGTTTGAAGGAGAGTGGGACAGCGCAACGAACACGCCACGTGGGGTTCGATCGCACTGCCTTTCTGGTGCCAGCCGCCGATCACTTGCGCACTGGAGCACCATGGCCGACCGACTGCTGCGGCTCCTGCTCGTGCTGCAGCTCATGGCGGCGGTGGCGACGGCGGCGGTCGCCTGCCTCTACACCTCGTACCCGCCCGACCTGCTCGTGTACACGGCCGACGCGGCCTGCCCGATCGTCGGCCGGTCGTGCATCATCAACTCGACCGACTGCGCCGTTGTCAACAACATCACGCTCGACCAAGAGACCAAGACGCTGCCCTTCTTCAACGCCGTCGGCGACCTCTCGTCGTCGACCATTGTCAACATGTGCGAGCCTTCTGCCAGGATGCGGCGACTCATGATGCATACGATGGTGTAGGAAGATTGGCAATAAGACGTCGCTCGTCATGAAGGACATGAGGTTTCCGGCGTCGCTCAAGGCGCTGTACGTCCTCTTGCGATCGCTCGCCGGCGCTAAGATCTGATCGTAGCCAAATCCAAAACATCTCGCGTATCGATTTTACGCAGCTCAAGACGCAGTTCCCGTCGACGCTCGTGTCATTAGGCGTCCTCGACTCCAACTTGGAGATCTTTCCCGCCACGTTTCAATGGCCCGACCACCTCCGAACCATGTATGCCTCTCGCCTCATCCTACAGCAGGACGGACACGTCGTCTCTAGCACTTTGCGCAAAAACAATTTGCAGACAATTCCCAAGGGCCTGCCGTCCACAACCATCAATCTGTACGCATTCAAGTTATAGAGTCGTGGGCTCACGAATGGTATAGGGCCATTCAGAACAATACGCTCTCCGACTTCAACTACCTCCCGGCCAACCTCACGTTTTTGTTGGCCTCTTTGAGTTTAGCGTGGCGCTCAGTACTTCACTAGGAACGTGCGGGACAACTTGTACACGCGCGTCGCCGACCAAGACTGGACCACGATGCAATACCTGTACAACCCTAACCACTGCTTTATCGAGTCGACTGACCGACTATGCGCAGGCAACTGAGTTCGAACCCGATCTCGTCCATCGTCAACATTCGGCTCTCGAAATCGATTGCATTCTTGTACGGCGAATCGTACCTTTTGCGTTGGCTCATCGCCGAGTGTGACGTAGCTCGTGCTTGGGCTGTGCGATTCAGGAATTCACCATCAACAACGTGACGTACGAAGCGCTCAATGCGCTGCAGAACGCCAACGAGACCGAGTCCAGCACGGTCGAGTCGACGGGCTTTCGCTTTGATACCGGCTTCTCCGTGGACGCGGCCGCCTGCGCTGCGCTGAAAGGCTCGGTTCAACCGCTCTGGGCCGGCAAGTCTCCGCACACCTTTCAAGTCTGCGTCGTGCCCGGTACTCCTCGGATGACAATGTCCTTCTCGCTGACCAGTTGTGATGACGTGCGTAGACGCGCTGCCACCGCCGACGCCGATTATCGTGTCCAAAAATGGTAGACAATATGTACATTGCGGACAAGATGTCTTATGATAACGTAGACACGGGGCTCATCATCGGATGTGCCATTGGCGGTGTCGCCGTCATTGCGATACTGCTCATCGCGGTGCTCATTCGCCGCAAGAAGACTGCAGCAGCCGACCTCCTCGCGTTCCAAAGTGAGATCACGGGCGGCCGCAACCGCCGAGCAAACGGCACGGGGTTCCAAACCCTCGAGTCGTCGCTCGAGCTGGCCGAGAACGGGCTCAACGTCGAGGAGCTTCGCATGCACAAGCTCGACCTCGCCGACCTCAAGGTCACGGCCACCAAGCCGTTGGCGTCTGGCGCCTTTGGCGAGGTCTGGCTCGGTCATTACGGCAGCGAAAAGGTCGCGATCAAGCGCCTCAAGGACACGCACGTCGAGTCGGTGCAAAAGTTTATCGAAGAGATCAAGCTCATGATCCAGTACGCGTCGGACTATACGCACGAACGATACTCATGGTGTCGGATAGGATGGACTCGCCGTTCATTGTCAAGTTTGTCGGCGTCAGCTGGCGCCGTCCGATCGAGATCGAGTGCATTGTCGAGTACATGGACCTCGGCGACCTCCGGAGTATTCTGGCGGCCCGCCGGCGTGAGCAGTTTTCGTGGAAGGACAAGTTTGCGTGTATCATGAGCATCGCGCGCGGGCTTGTGTATTTGCACACGTTTACGCAGCCCATCATCCACCGCGACCTCAAGTCCCGCAATGTCCTCCTCGACTCGAAGAAGGTATTTTTTCTTTTTTTCGGGATTAAACAGCTGATATTGTTGAAATTTAGGGCACCAAATTAACCGACTTTGGCGCGTCCCGCGAGGCGGCCGACGAAATGATGACCAACGGCATTGGCACGTACCAGTGGATGGCGCCCGAAGTCATTCTCGGCACAGAGTATACGATCGCTGCCGACGTGTACTCGTTCGGTACGCATTTCTGAGCGAGGGGTAGGGTTGTGTGACATTTGCCGTAGGCGTCCTTTTGTCCGAATTCTCGACCCACGCCGTGCCCTACAGCGGCTTGGTCAACCCCAACACGGGCCATGCGTATCCACAGGAAAACATCATGTCGCGTGTGACCACCGGCGAGTTGCGCCCAAGCTTTCTTCTTGACGAGACGCCGTCGTGGGTGACGGAGCTCGGCGAGCAGTGCATGGCGACCGACCCGCGCGGCCGGCCGACGTCGCTCCACCTCACGGCCGTGCTCCAGCGCGTCAAAGCCAAATTTTATTAGATTCTATCAACTTATTTCAATTCGATTGCTCTTCTCACTTTACATTGTCGTTGCCTCCATCTCAACGGCCGTTGCAGTCGTTTTTGGTCGTCAGGGGCAAAAAGCCGAGACCCGTCGCGATTATATATGAACGTGTTCCGCGTTATCTTCATTATGACACAAAGACTTCGCATACGTAGCGCTACGCCTGAATGCGTGGGAGTTGGCTCCAGCACTTGGTCGTTGGGAGTGAGCTGCGTACGGAGAGATCCATCCCGTGGTGGACCCCACTCGCCGAGTCATAGCTCGCGCGAGGTCGTACGCAGGCTCCTGTACTCGGACCGCCCGAGAGTTTTTCGTCGCGATTACCGAGTAGATTTATTGAAGTGTATACTAGAGCATTAGAAGTCAATGGATCCTAGTACAAAGTATCGGCATCGATCAAGCTATCGACAAACTGCCGCACCAACACTGTGAGCTCCAATGTGGTCGGTCGCAGACTCGGGTCCCACGCCAAGCAGCGGACACCGACTTCGTGGACCCAGCGCGGCGACGTCGCATCAAAGTCCGGTCGCAGGTCGCCGCTCGCGATTTTGGTCAAGAGACTCTGCGCACTCTGCGACGCAAAGTATCGCTGGGTGTACGGCACCTCGTGTGTACTCATCTCGGACACAATCACTCCTACCCCCATCCCGCTTAGTCATGAAATCTCGAACAAAGAGCAACGTACCAAACGAGTAAATGTCGGCGGCCTCGCTGTACGACGAGCCGTTGATGACTTCGGGCGCCATCCACTGGAACGTGCCGATACCCGAAGTCAGCGTGCGCGCGTCGCAGAGCTCGCGCGAGACGCCAAAGTCGGTCAACTTGGCGCCGCATGTGTCGTCCAACAAGACGTTGCGGGACTTGAGGTCGCGGTGGATCACGACAGGGCTGAACGTATGGAGAAACACGAGGCCGTACACGATGCTCTGCAGCAGCAGCGCCTTCTCGGCCCACGGGATCGCGTCTCGACTGGAAATCGCGAGGTAGCTCAGGAGGTCGCCCGCTTGCATGTGCTCCAGCACCGCTTCGATGTCGAGGAGCCGGCGCCACGTCACGCCGACAAGCGTCACAATGTATGGGCTCTGGAGCCTATCATGTCAAGTCGTGTAGGATATAAGAAGAGAAAAGACGTTGTACTTGGCGAGAAGCAGAATCTCTTGGATGAAGGCGTGGATGGCTTCGGGTCGGCGGTCTTTGTTGCGCTTGATGACCACGGTGGCGTTGGTGGCGAGGTACGTGGCGCGCCACACGTCGCCAAACGCGCCAGATGCGATCGGCTTGGCGTCCGACACCACGAGGCTTGACGCGTCGAGCTGCAGCATCTGGAGCGTCTCGAGCTCTTTGGCCGACAGCGACGAGACGAGGTAGTCGTCGTCGGCGGCGCGGTCCGTCTTGGCGACGCGCTTCCCATGGTAATATGTCCCAACAGCAATGAGTAGAAGCGCTACGACGCCGATCGCAAGGTACGGGTAGATGTGATTGTTCTTGTCGGCGATGTTTGGCATGCCTACCGGTACGAAATATCAACTTGAAACTTCGCTAGCATCGAGGAAACGCACTCATGACGTCCGTGTCGACCGGCAGGACGCAAATGGTGTAGTTGGAAGGCGGCCAGAGCGTGTGAATGGTACCGTGAAAGACGCGGCAGTAGTCGGTATTTTGGTGCAGACTACGGACGCGGTACCCAGCACTGTCATTGGATGCTGGCGCCAACGCGCGCAAGGCGATCAACGCCGGTGGTTGCATCGAAAAGACTGTCAGATCGCAGTCTTTGCACGAGCTACACCACCATGAGATATTCAAGTCCTTCAAAAGATAAACGC